CCACATATCTAATCTGGGAGTTATGTTTAATGTTGATTATATTTGTTATCTTTTAAACTTCTTACTTATAGCCCCACATTTTCCAGCTTTTTGATTTATAATGATAAAAGTTACTTGGAAGCAGTCCCGACCATTTATATCTGTGAAGGTCAAAAGCCAGCATTAGGTAGGACATCTGGAGATGGTAAAGGAGATTGGATGAAGATAAAGGGGAGAGAGGAAGATGTTTAAAACTGTGGGTGCACTGAAAAGTAGAAAATGTGCCAAGAGAATCCTTTATTTTTGCCTTGATATATTAAACTGCTCTTTCCTCCACTGTTTATCAGATTTAAATACCAGATTTTCTATTTAAAGGTAGTAATCCAAATTTGGTGGTCATTTAAATGGTGTCTAGGGAATTACACTTGCATTTTCTTAAATGTTAAATATAAATATTTCTATTATAAAGAAAGCTTGTGAAATAGAATGTTTTATATTGCTTGGCAACTTTTTTTTAAGGAAAAGATTTGTTTGATCTTCTGCACCTTAACAAGACTCAACTGTGGTTTGATGCTTAGGGTAGCTAGTTACTGCCCCAGAAGATGATTTCAGGGTGTTGGTTTAAGACTTTCCTTTAAAGTGACCTTTATATAAACTTAACTTTTAGTGTTTATTATAACTATCTAAGATTTCACTAGCTAAATGAAACGTTTCTGACTAACACTGGTCTGTCTAGAAATTTAATTATATTATTATTTTTGAAGTTGAATAGTTGTGGAAATACCTTCTGAGTGAGTCTCTTATTTTTTTTTTTCTATTTTGTATGTGACTTAAAGCAACAAAAAACTTTGATGACCAAAGCCACTCTCCCCTGAAATTCTTTTTTTTTTTGTACTTTTTTTTTTTATTGATTGTTCAAAACATTACAGAGCTCATGATATATCATCTTTCATACATTTGACTCAATTGGGTTTTGAACTCCCTTTTTTACCCCAAATACAGATGGGAGAGAGAAGGGAAAGCATATGGAAATGGTAGGAGTCCCCTGAAATTCTTAATGGTGACTCGTGGATGTGTCCATGTCTTTATGGCTTCTCTGCTCTTTACTGAAACAGCAGCCAGCCTATCTTTCCGCCTTTTGGCATTTCATGTGTGGTTAGGCTTGGCAGGTTTGTTGCAAACAAATCCGATTGTTGGTTTTAGATTTCATGCCTCATTGACGCCTTTAGTTATTTGATCCCAAAAGGTGGTGATAACTTCTTATATATGCTGTGACTTATGACTTCCACAATTCTATTCTTCAATCAGAAATCCAATAAGTCAGGGAATTGATTTAATAATAACCAGGACATTTTTTTTCCCAACAATGAAAAAGTGGTCACTTTGGTTCCTAGCCAATCTCAGTTTGGATAATTTGATTCCTGTTGGCCTGATTCTTGTCTTTGTTTTCACTTAAGGACCTTTGATTTGACAAAAGCCTCAGCATATTAACATTGAAATGTATAATGTGTTTATTTTTCATATTGTTATGTAACATGTTCATATAAGGATGATTTTTCAATTCTGTTCTTATTTTCAAGTTATTTTTTTATTTTAATATTTATTTTCTCTGACTATATAGAAAGTAGATCTCTAATTTTAAAAATGAAAATATACCATTAACAAGACATAAAACTAGAGACTTGTCATCTCACCAATAATATATCTTAAAAAGTCTAATTTTAATTGTCAATAGATAGGGTCCTCTTTTTCTTCAGATTTGTAGATATTACATACTGAAAATATTTTAAGAAATGCTTTATTATTAGAGCATAAACTGACAATTTTATTGTCAAAAAGTCTTAAGTTTACATTCTATAAACAAAGATTGCCTTCAAATTTTAAATATTTTGGGAAGCCGTCCAGTAAGTTACTAGTTTAAATAGTAGAACAACATGGGTAGGAATTGACATTTCAAGTTTAGAGGATAACATCAGGGGAGTTTTTCCAGAAGTGTAATTATTAGAGATGCATTGAAAGTACATGTTGTTAAGGTGTGGTAACCCAGCGAGTGACATCTTCATGAATATTTTTTTTAAAAATTAACAATGTAAGTACAAACATGACATGCATAGTTACATATCCTAAAACTTAATATGGCACTGAAATTTTTCTGTTGGTTCATAGTAGATAATTATTCATGTGAACAGAGATAAAAACCACAGGTTCTATGATTAAATAAGACATTAAATAATTACATATATATATGAAAACATAAGATTTAAAGATTTGACACTTATTTTAGCATACTGGTCCAGAACAATTTGAGCTGTGGAATCGAAATGTTTGTGTTTGCACCATGGCATTTCCAGCTGTCTGATTTGGGCAAGTTATTTATGACTAACAAAAATGAAGTAAATCATTATACCTACTTTGTAGCCTTATGCTCTGCAAATGTCAGTTGTYATGATTATTGTCATTACTGTTATTGTTATTCTAGTGGTAAAATACATACCTGTTCTCTATGATGGCTTTGCAAAACAATTTTTCCATTACTAATAGTTATTATAAGACTAGATATTTTCATGGATGTTGAGTGTTTTCAAGGTACATACTCACTTTTTTTTTTTTTTTTAGTTATAGGTGGAAACAGTGTCTTTATTTTATATTTATGTGGTGCTGAGGATTGAACCCAGTGCCTCACGCATGCTAGGCGAGCTCTCTGCCTCTGAGCCACAATCCCAGCCCCTCACTTTTTTTTAATGGCATACATTTTACCCCTGCCGAACAATACTTATTAAGCATTTATATAAGTAATCATTTACGTGTCTATTACTCAAATCTTTTAAACAAGTATGTGTAAGTTTCAAATACAGTTACAATACAACTTTGTTCATGTAGTTTTCCATGGATTTTCATTTAGTGGTTATGGTCTTTTGTTATTGTTGCCAGAGACTGCTAGACCCTTTGTGAGCTTGTTTTTATGTCTTTACATGCTTGCAGAAGTATTTCTTTAGACCAGATGTCTTAGTTTTGCTGGATTATAGGATACAGACATTTAAATTCCAAATTGACAGGGTCAGCAGAATTTTCTTTGAAACATAACTGCACTATTTTTCATTCACTGCTCATCTTCCCCAAACCATTGTAAATGTTTGTCTTTTATTATTTGGCCAATTAGGTAAGTAATGGTTGCTTTTCTCATATTAATTTGCATTTTATTTATTAGAGAAGTAAATCAATTTTTAGGTATTTGATTATTTACATTTTATTTAAATTGTCTATTCATTCTCTTTTTCCACTTCTTCCTTTAATTAATTTTTAGAAGCTCTTTATTTGATCTGTTTTGTCTTCTCTGTGTGGTTAACATTTGCTCACAACCTTTTTCATTTGCTTATGGTATGTTTTCTTATGTAGATATTTTTATCTTTATATAGTCAGATCTGTCAGATGGTTCCTTGGCAGCTTATGATTCACATTATTTTTTTAAAGGTTTTATTTCCCAAATTAAAAAATATCCTTGTTTTTCTAATAATCTTACAATTTTACCCTAATGTCTTTGACACTTAAGTCCATTGTGAGAGAATGATTACAGTTTGTTTTCCTCTGAATACATAGCCAAACTCCTGATAGCTTCTTTTTAATAGTAACTTCAGAGTTACTATGACTATTTATAATTATTGTTTATATCATGGACATCATTGAAGACCAATACTTGCTCGCACAATAGTAAGCATTTTACATGTGTAATTTTTTCTAAGTCTTGTGATTACCTTTTGAATTTGGTACTATTGTTTTTTTATCTGTTTAATTTGTGGATGAAATTGCAGCATAGAGATACTAATAATTTGAGAGACCATGCAGCTAGAGAGCTATAGAGTTAGAAGGCAAAACCTCCCATTTCTAGAACTGTTCCTCTAATCACCAACTGTCATGAAAAATTAAATTTAGGTGGGTTCCTTGTGGCTCATACCAGACAGATTTCAGTATTAACAGTGCCCTGCTCCCTGCCCTAGGCTTCATCTTCCCTCCTGGCCTTGACCCTTCACCTGCGCCCCCTCAGTTCCTCCTCTCCCTGCCTGTATTCTCTCCTGACCTGCAGGGCAAGGTGCATTCCTGTCCTCTCTCTCTTGTAGTCGTCATTTCTTTGTGAGTACAGAGTAATGTCTCTGATCTGATTTTGACAGAATATAACACGTGTGTCACAGAATTCTAGAACTGAAGTCTATTTATTCACCAACCCTAAGAAGAGAGATCATGAATCTGAACACAAAATTAAGTTGCTTTTCAGGCAACACTAATATTAATATCAGTTGAATAATTCCCATACCAGGCTTGTGTCACATTAAAATATTAATAAAATTAAAATTCATGGGATGTTAATGTTACTTTCAAAATTAAATTTTAAATAATGTACATGTAAAACGTTAGGCTCTTCATGAGGAGTGTTTGACATGAAGGTTTTTCCAGTTCTCTGAAATTTCTTATCTTTAAAAACTAGTGTTTTTTTAATCTCTTCAACTTTGTTCTACCCTTTTCCAAGTTCTATCATTTAAAAATATGCCATAGTTAGGAGACGAGGGTTCTGGTGTTCTCTTGTACTGCAGGGTGGCTATAGAGGGTGATAATGTGCTCTATATTTCAGAAAACTAGAAAAAAAAAAGATTTGAATGTTTTCATCATAAAGACACGATAAATTTTGAGGAGATAGTTCTGCTTATCCTCATTTGAACATTATGCCATGTTTACATGTATTGAAACATGACATAGTACCTCATAAAGATATATAATTTTATATGTCAATTTAAAACATTAGGATAATTAAAACGTAAAAATTTTTTAAATGTGTCATGAACACAGAAAGAGTGAAAGCCAGGGAGAATTTTAGCAGAGTTTCTAATAGAAATGTGATTTGAATTTTATTGTACTGAATTTTATATAGTTAGTCCATTTATTTTCCAATGAAAAAAACCCCAGTTTAACTCTGTATGCTCCCAGCCTCAGGCTTTTTCTTACTCTGTTCTCTTGGTTTGGTGTCTCAGTCTTCAGGAACCAGTATTACTGTGGATATTGCTGTGATGGGCGAGGCGCATGGCCTCATTACCGACCTCCTGGCAGACCCTTCTCTGCCCCCAAATGTGTGCACGTCCCTGAGGGCTGTGAGCAACCTGCTCAGCACGCAACTCACCTTCCACGCCATTCACAAGCCCAGAGTGAATCCTGTCGTTTCCTTCAGTGAAAACTACACCTGCTCGGATTCTGAAGAGAGCGCTGAAAAAGACAAACTGGCTATTCCCAAGGTAGGTACTGAGGACACACCCTTTAAAGGCTTAGCCTTTTTATATTTCAATTGTCTCTTAGGTTTCCCTCACAGTCCCTCCAAACCCATCTATAGATTCATATCAGTTACTTCAAGAAGATGAGTTCATTCTGGTGGCAAAAACAATAAAACCTTAAACTCGAACACTTCTGTCATAATACTTGATTACTTTCTTCAAATAGAAAACTTACCCTTTTTATTTATACTTGGTAAGAGGTTTTTTGTTTTGTTTTGTTTTGTTTTGTTTTGTTTGCTTGTTTGTTTGTTTGATGCTGGGGATTGAAGGCAAGGCCTCATGCATGCTAGGCAAGTGCTTCACAATTGAGCTATACTGTTAGCCCCAGGATTTACTTCTGTGTGCCTGGCTGTGTTGTAGGCGATGAGGATATTGCAGTAAAACACAAACAAAATAACAATGAGAAGATAAAAAAGAATACCTGCTCTGTTCTCATGTGAATTCTGTTTAAAGCACACTGCCTTGTAAAACTGAAGGTTCCTTTGCTCTTTGATTTCTTAGTGAGACATATTTCAAAGTGCCTTTATGAATTTCTCAAACACGTTTTGAACTCAGAATGGTTTTAGTTATTTAAGATTATTTAAGGTATAAGGTGGCCTTACTGATTTATATATATACTCAAGAAATGATACAATTCCTTCTTTTTACAAACAGGTTGGACATCCCTTATCCAAAAATCTACCCGAAAATGGTCCAAAATCCAAAACTTTTTGAGCACTAACATGGCACTCAAAAAAGTGCACATATTGGAATATCAGATTTTTGTATTGGTTAGTTTAACTGGTAAAATCAATACAAGTATTTCACAATACAAAAAAAAATCTCCAAAATCTGAAACACTTTGGGTCCCATGCATTTCTAATAAGGTATGCTCATCCAGCTTAAGAGAGGTATTTTTCAAAAGTAAATAGTACAGGCATGATCCTATGCCTCCTTCAGACCTCAGTATTAGTTAAAATTAAGTTACATTAAAGATAAAATGTCATTGTTTCCATGGCCTCTGGCACATGCAGCATGGTTGTTACTCAGTAGACAAGCAGCTGTGCCCTTGAGCTGGTGGTCAGTCAGTAGCATCCATGTCTGCCATGGAGTCTCTTGGRCCAGGAATGTGATCCTTATCATTTTATCAATTGAGTATTTATAGAGTTTCTTTCAAACATTCAGTTCTCCAAAAAAAAGATATACCAAAGCACGATATGAAAGTAAAGAAATGGAGAGAAAGATTAACTGATTCCTTAGGGTCTCAAAAGAGTCGTAATTCAAAACTTGGCAGATGAAAGTGTTTGTCTTTTCCTCCTTAATTATCTTCTTGAATGCATATTTACGTCTTTAGGATACATTGGAAACTATTGAGTGCCAGACTTGTTCTTGAATCCCAATGGGTCACCTACTTCACGTCTCAAAAGTTTTGGCATCTTCAGAAGAGCAGAGAGTGTCCTTGTAAACAATGGCTACACAGTTGGTTTACAGGAGTGATTAACCAGAAATAAAAGTGGGTGGAGGATCTGCCTCTGAAGCCTGTTACTGAAGTTGCATGGAGAGCACACCTTCACTTTTGTTTCCAAGATTGAGACCCTCTTGAGAGTGCTGGTGCCCATGATGGCAAGCCCGGGCCTTGACCTCAATGCCCATGGTACCAGTCCCACTTAGGATATGTATGGACCACCAATGGCACAGAGAAGAAACAGCAGGTTCCCAGCAGGGCTTCTATTCAGAGAAGTTGATACTGGTAGATTTACCCCTATCTCTGATGACTCAATCACATTACCATAGGGAAGTGGTGTTTTCTATGAAAAAGTCCATTCTTAGCTCCTATGATTTCTCAAGATAATAAAAACAACCAACAGAACTTGTGTGTATAGACCATTATGTGCAATGATATAAATTAATCCATGTCCCAAACAAGTGACTTTGTGAAAAATACTTCTCATAATAACTAATATAATATGTGTATATAGGTCTATATGTCCTATAATAATGTAACTATAAAATTTCTCCAGAGGTAATTTAGTCTCATTCCTATAATCTATATTTGTACAAGCATTGCAGAGCAGACCCCAAAATGTTATTTTTTAAAAATGCAGTCATTTTGGCCAGAAAGTATTTTATTGAATTTCTGCATATCCCAATTTTATATAGGCAATATTGAACCATTGTGGTTTCATCATTAATTCCAATTAAAAATTATTTCTTCTTTTACATGAAAGTTAGTGATACAAATGTGCTTGGTAAATAAAATCAATACATATTTCTTCCTAGCGCCTCAGAAGAAGTTTGCCCCCTGGTTTGCTGCGACGAGTTTCATCAACTTGGACAACCACCACTTCAGCCACAGGTCTGCCCACCTTGGAGCCTGCCCCAGTTCGGAGGGACCGTAGTTCCAGCATCAAGCCTCATGATGCACCTTCTCCCAGGTTAGTCAATGCTCCTGCTGGTTTCATGTCTCTCAGAGAATGTTCTTAACCAAAAGGAATTATAACTTATGAGAGAAGGGAAGCCTAGGTAATTATAGTTGGTTATAGACCAGCATTATCAGTGGAAACATTGTGTAACTTAAATCAGATAATTAGGCTTAAATTTTGTTGTGGGACTTCAAGTATAAGAAGAAAGTGTGCCCTGAGATGAGCCCTGCAGTTGTGACCTTGAATGGAAAGGGTTGAGTCCAGGAGTAAAATGTAGGACAATGAAAGGTACACAGAGATGCGTACATCAAAAGCACCTAACCTGCCGGGACTGTTGGTGCGCAACTGTAATCTCAGTTGCTCAAGAGGCTGAGGAAGGAGAATTGCAAGTTTGAGATTAGCCTGGGAAACTTAGCAAGACCCTATATAAAAATTAAAAAAAAAAAAATTATAAAAGGGCTGAAGCTCCCCTGGATTCATTCCCTGGTACTGCCAAAACAAAAACAAAAGCAAAAAACTAGGCTGACATTTGCAAGTCATTGTTAGAGTCCCCTAGCTCATCAGCAACTGTCCTATCTCTGTAGGAAAGGCAGAAGGGTAGATCACCATTCTAAGACCAACCATTCTGTTCAAACATTTGGTAATTTAAACATTTTTGTTTATGTGTGTGCAGTATTGGGAATTGAACCCAGGGCCTCGTGAATGCTAGGCAAATTCTCTACTGCTGAACTGCATCACCAGTATAGTAATTCACTACAGAGCAACTTTATTTCGTAAACTAATTCCCATTTTTTACAAAATGACTATTTAGCTTTTTGTCACGGTGATAAAATATCGAAACAATCAACTTATTAATTTAAAAGGTTTATTTTTACTCACAGTTTCAGGGYACACACCCAGTGATCTAACTTCTTTCCACCAGGCTCTACCTCCTAAAGTTTCTACCACATCTCATGGACTGGTGACCAAGACTTTAATGCATAGGCCTTTAGGGGAAATTCAAGATTCAAACTGTAGCAGTGACTTAAAAGCCAGAAATAMTAAAGCTAAAGAAAAGATAATATTATGATCATAGAATGAATTTCTAAGAAAACATCTACCAAAAGAAGTCCTTTTACAGGAAGCTATTATGTTTGTTCTTTTCTAATTGGAAGAAAAATAGCATTTTTTATATGAATTCAATAATTCTGAGAACATATGCCATATGATTTCAGGATTTTGAAACATATGTCAGTTAACCTAATGAATGAAAAAGATCCTTACCCATTGAAATATATAATAGCAATACTAGTAGTAAATTTCTCCTTATCTTAGTCTCTAATATAAATAAAGTATCATGCTGACATTGCCAGAGAAATTGAAACGTTCCATCTAATAAGAATTTAAAGACTGCTCTATGTGTGTAATAAGAATTGTAATGCATTCTACTGTCATATATAAATTAAAAAAAATTAAATACTGCTAACTTTTCTTGCTTTCTTGATTAAAGATGTTTAATTGGTTTCTTTCGTATAAACGTTTGTGTTTTAGTAAACCAATAGAATCAGAAACAAACTCAAATGATTCTTTCATAAATCAGTGTAATTTCAGGTGCCTCGTTAGCGCAGTAGGTAGCGCGTCAGTCTCATAAATCAGTGTAATTTCATTATGTCTTCTTACCTGGAATTTTGTAAACTTATAAATGCCCATGGGAGAAAGTTACTCACCATTCCAGGAACACATTTTAATGGTTGAAACAAAACGAGAAGTCATTGCTAATATTTTTCTTTAAAATGCTGGCCATTTTCAATTTCTATAGCATCATATATTAAAAAATGATAGCACAGAGTATTATAGTTAAATATTGCATAATAAAATGAATTATGWCCTCAGTGTACGTCATTACTTATTTTACCAATGCATTTTAGTAAGTTCTCTGTGAGAGTATAGTTAATTTCTATAGAATGACATGCATTCTCAAATGTCTTCTTTCCTTCTGTTAATCTTTGTTATTTCTTGTCAAATCTCATTTCCCCCATTCTTTTCTTCAAGTCAATTATAAGAAATTGGAGGCTGAAATTGAAATCATCATAAGGAAGAGGGTTCCAAGAAAAGTTATGAGCTTAATTCCCAAAGATCCTGTCATTTTGCCTCATAAAATAAATATGCAGACTCAAATATTTGTAAAGAGATAAGAAATAGCTTATCCCACTCAATCTCTTTCCCATAAAAATAGTTCTAGATGTCTTCTTGGGTATGGTTTTTCCCACTGTCTAAACTACTACCTCTAAATTTCACTATCCTGTTAAAAACTCCTGATTTAAAATTTGAAAATGATACGACTTTTTTCACTATTATGAACACATGAAATTGATTCTGACAGTATTTAGCCCTTTAAAGAAAAATCACATATAAGTTAATGGCCATAGTACCACCATTAAATACAACTGGTTTGAGTCATTAGTTAAAAGTCATGATTAAAACCCCCTTCACCTAGGAAAACTGTTATTCATATTGCTGATTGATTTTAAAACTGGTTTGAGTTTTAGCCCTGAAGTTTCTTCCCTTTTAGCTTTTTATTTATTTATTTCTACATTTGACCTTTCGTTGGAACTCTTTGAGAACTTCAGTGATCCAAGGAAGGAAGTGAGAAGTAAAAATTAAAAACAGTTCACAACTTACATGACTTTAGGTATGCAGCTGGATAGGTTCCTCCTGGGAAATTCTAAACACAGTCTGGTAGAGAGGACCATGGACTGAAGGTCAGAAGGATCTGGACCATGCAGACATGTGTGTTCCAAGAGGCCATGAGCCTCCGTTCCCTCTGAGAGGAGTCATTACAGAAGGAGACTGTAACACAATTGCAGGGATAGACCCGATGGAGGGATACAAGTACGTGGTTTAAAAGTGTAGACTTAGAGAAGTAGAAAATGCTGACTTAAATCATGTTCTAAATTATTCCAAGTTGACCTTGAAACTGGCCTCTGTCTACTAGGGAAAAAAGGAGCAATTTACTTGACAGTAGACTGTTACTCAGTAGGAGTTTTCATACTGGAATTGTTAGAACTGGAGGTATAAAAATTTACTTTTGTGAAAGAGGGTTGTAATCTTCCATAATAGCCATAGATGATTTTCCTAGCTGTGTTACCATGAGAAAACCACATAAAGATTTCCCTAAGCTGTTTCATCTGCAGAATCCAAATTGTTCTTTTGTCATGAGATCTAAACTGGAATCAAGAAGTGAGGGTCAAAATAGGAGAATGGGGGTCAGAAAGACGGTGGAAAGAGATAGACATCATTACCCTAGAACATGTATGAAAACACGAATGGTGTGACTCTACTTTGTGTACAACCAGAGACATGAAAAATTGTGCTCTATTTGCGTAATGTGAATTGAATTGCATTCTGCTGTTATATATAACTAATTAGAATAAATAAAATTAAAAAATTAAAAAGAAGAAGTGTGAAGGTCAATGAAAAGCTGAAAATTGCTGTGCAGCAGATCACACAAAGCAATGTATGAAAGTGCCTGTAAGCTGTCATACATTTATATAAAGAGTATATGTAGTTTAATCTAATTTAATAATATTATAAATTAATATATATTATATTAAAATGAGATAGCACTGGCTGGGATTTTATTTATCTTGACTTCATTACATCTCTACACATTAAGGTTACTATACTATTGTGCCTTTCAGGCTTTTCAAAAAAACATTTTAAATGTTTTTATTTGGAAAAAGCCACAGTAATAGATAGTTTTTGAGCTAACCTTCATCAGAACACCAATGAAATATTAGAAATGATAGTAAGGTCTTATATTTTAAAAGTTCACATAGAAGAGTGATCATTTATTCATTATATTGTGGACTAAGAAATGAAAATATTTAGGCTACATATACATTGCACAAAATTTATTCACAGTAAATCTTATCAGTTAGTCCAGCAAAAGAAACTAGTACCATAAGAAAACAGTTGGCTAGTTCTCTGCCTCACACCCTGGTTTTCTTTGATTTATTATTTACAAAATTCAAACCATTTGTGAAAGACTTAGGATGAGATTTCTAAGAAGGACATGAAACAAATATTTTACATGCTTTCTTTAATTATATTGGATAATTTGCTTAAGTTCATTCTGCATTTTGGATATCTCCTTTATGATAATATATGGTTGACCGTTATTAGAAGTAAAGAGAAAAGTTGAAGTACCTGGGTCAATAGTTGAAGAAAATTTCTCCAAATATAAAGAGAGAAAAAATGAAATATACCATAAGTGTCAATGCATCAGATTGGCCTCAACACAAATTACAAATGTCACTAATTATCCAGTTTACTGATAATGCAAGGATCCAGGCAGTAGCATATATAGCATTCTTTCCTTTAAGAGACCTGAGACTGTTCTTATATTGCCTAAGTGTCCCTTTTATTCCATATTGGCTTTTGTTCTGGTTTGGATTAACATGCAGGATTCTAAGCAAGGGAAGCATAATGTTGCTGTACTCTGGGAGCCACTTTGGCTATAGACCCCTTAAGATTATACTGCATTAATTATTCAGCTATACAACAATCTCTATCTATCGATGACTCCAAAGTTCTACCAATTTCATGTTTACTTACAGTAAGCCATCGGGAAAGATCAGGCATATCCTGCCCACAGTGCCAAACTAAAATCAGCTAAAGATCAAATTGTCACATAATATTCATGCAGACTAAAGATTTTTACCAAATTAACAAGTATATGAACTCGATAAATAGGAATGTTATCTCTTCTCTTACTTTAAATGGTATGCTTTGTGAATCACTGATGTATCCCCTTCAAGAGACTAAGCTCAGATAACCTGTTTTGTCATTTGAAAGTAAAGTTATTCTTTCAGTGAGCCTGGGCCCATATCCAGTTTGACAAGTCTATTATGAAAATTATGGTTTTGTTCTGGTAAGATTTGCCCAATAGTTGAGTACTTTATTCATTAGTGGTAAATTCTGTCTTTACAGTGCTATTAATTCAGATTCTTGGAATAACCCAGTGATGATGACCCTCACCAAAAGCAGATCCTTCACTTCATCCTATGCTGTTTCTGCAGCTAACCACGTAAAGGCTAAAAAGCCAAATCGACCAGGTTAGTAACTTATGAGGAAAAGAGTTTATACTCTAAATGCTCTGTCATGGAGTGACCAAACTTTGAGTATATAAAAATATTATGAAAGGAAACTAAACTCAGATGTCTTTGGTTCAACTACTCTGTAAATTTCAATAACCGAAATTATTTATTTAAATTTCCACTTCATGTGATCATACAGATTCTTCAAGGTTGCTGTACCAGATTTTCTATCTTGAGTTTATTTAGTAGGAAATCAGATCACCACTAAGAATAATTTCCTGAGCACCACCTTTTAAATGTCAGTTTTACTTTTAGCGTCTGTTACACATAGATTACTTTTCAGGAGTGTGCTGTATGTGTATTTGAGGAAATGCTTCATTTACTATACATGAGCTATGACAAGGAATCTAGATATCACAATTAAGAATAATAGAGTTATAGATAAGGAAATGAAATGATTTGGGGAAAGATTATCTTTTGGCAGAGCACTGAGCTATATCCTCAGTTCTTTTTTATTAGGAGACAGGATCTCCCTAAGTTGCTGAGGGTCTTGCTAAGTTGCTGAGGCTGCCCTTGAACTTGTGATCCTTCTCCCTCAGCCTCCCAAGTTGATGGGATTACAGATGTACACCACTGAGCCCTGCAGGTTACCTCATTTGACTGGACTATGTGCTATTCTGTCTCTGAATTGCTCTTTTCCTAGAATCCCAGATTCTAGGTGTATTTACTAGGGTGTTTACTCTGACATTGTCCTCTTTAGAATAACTAACTCCTAAGTTTTTACAGCTACGTAGAAAACTTTAACAAGATTTTAGTTACTTCCTGCTTGGTTTCTTAATTTTCTCTTGAGCAGCTAAAGAATTCACCAAATGGTTCAAGGGAAAACTCTCCTTTCTTACTGGGATAGTAGACATTCAAATTATGACTGCCATGGGGGCCCCACTCTCCCAATATTTTATGTTGTCACCCTCATTTCTGCTAAAAGCTCTGCTGGCTTCCTTCCCTAATGTCTTCATGCCTCTGCCTACATTCTTAGTCTGTCTTGTTTTTTTGACCCCAATTTTATTTTGATTTTACATTTTTTTTGTATAATCGTTTTTGACTAAATGTGCAGAATAAAAGTAAAATACTCTGATAATTACAGACATAGTTACTAAATGTGAGTAAATGTTCTTTTTAGCAAAAGAGAGACCCAAACAATTGCATCACATGAAGTCCAATTCTATCACTGTTAATTTATTCAGAGGAATTATTGGCCACATTTGCAAAGATTTTTTTACTATAATTATTATTGCATGTTAGTTGAATAGATTAATGACTTTGTGACTTTTCCATACATGCATTCATTGTGTTTTGATCATATCTACCCCTCCCACTACTACTCTCCCATACTTTCCCCTCTCTTTGTCTTGGTTCCCTTTCCCTTCTCTTTATAGTCTCTGTTGTACTCATGTCATTTTTATTCTTTCCACATGAGAGAAAACATGCAGGACTTGTCTTTATTTGTCCAGCTTATTTTGCTTAACATGATGCGCTCTAGTTTCATCCATTCTCCAACAAATCACGTGATTTTATCCTTCTTTATAGCTGAGTGATACCTCATTGTGTATATATACACACCATATTTTCCTTATCTGTTCATCTGTTAATGGCTACCTAGGCTGATTCTATAACTTGACTGTTGTGCATAGTGCTGCAACACACATAAGTGTTCAGGTATGTCTTCAGTACACTGACTTCATTCCCTTCAGGTATACATCCAGGAGTGGTATTGCTCTATGATATAGTAGTTCTCATTTTAGATTTTTGAGGACTCTTCATACTGTTTTGCATAGTGGCTGTACTAGTTTCTATTCCCACAAACAGAGTATAAAGGTTCCTTTTTCCTTACATCCTCACCAGTGCTGGTTATTTTTTGTTCTTTGGATGGTTTGCCATTCTGACTGAAATGAGATGGAATCTCAATGAAACATTGATTTGTATTTCCCTGACAACTAAACACGTTAAACATTTCCCCTATATTTATTGGACAATTGTGCTTCTTTTTTTTTAATGAGTGCATTTTAATTATACAGAATAATGGGTTTCATTGTGGCGTATTCATACATGCAAATAACATACTTTGATCATGTCCACCCCCAGTATCTCCCTTCCCTCACTCTTTCTGATCTCCTTCCTCTTCTGTAGTAGTCTCCCTGCTACTCTTGTATCTTTATTTTTTTTTTAACCTCAGTTCCACATATGAGGGAAAATAGGCAATGTTTGTCTTTCTGTTTCTGCCTCACTTTGCCTAGCTCTATGATCTTCAGTTCTATCCATTTTCCTACAAATAATGTGACTTTGTTTTTCTCCATAGCTGAATAATACTTCTTTGTGTATGTTTACCACATTGTCTTTACCACACTCATCTGTTGATGGGCACCTAGGCTGATTCTATAACTTGGCTTTTGTGAGTAGTGCTGCAATAAACATGGGCTGCAGAAATCTCTATACTATACTGACTTTAATTCCTTCCAATATATACCAAGGAGTGGTATTCCTAGATCATATGGTATTTCTATATTAATTTATTTTTTGAGAAACCTCTACATTGATTTTCTTTTTTTTAGTCACATTTTTTATTGTTCTACAAAGGTAATAGATTTACTTATCATAATGATCTAATACCCTCTTTTTTGTTATTATTTTTTTATTGGTTGTTCAAAACCTTACAGAGCTCTTGACATATCATGTTTTAAACATTAGTTTCAAGTGAGTTATGAACTCCCATTTTTACCCCAAATACAGATTGCAGAATCACATCGGTTACACATTCACATTTTTACATAATGCCATACTAGTAACTGTTGTATTCTGCTACCTTTCCTATCCTCTACTATCCCCTTCCCCCCCATCTTCTCTTTCTATCCCATCTACTGTAATTCATTTCTCTCCTTGTTTTTTCTTCCAATTCCCCTCACAACCTCTTTTATGTAGTTTTTTATAACAATGAGGGCCTCTTTCCATTTCCATGCAATTCCCCTTTTCTCTCTCTTTCCCTCCCATCTCGTGTCTCTGTTTAATGTCAATCTTTTCTTCCTGCTCTTCCTCCCTGCTCTATTCTTAGTTGCTCTCATAGTATGGAGATTCCTGGGAAAGCTGGGAATGGAACCACCATTTGACCCAGTTATTGCCCTTCTCGGACTATTCCCTGAAGACCTTAAAAGAGCRTACTACAGGGATACTGCCACATAGATGTTCACAGCAGCACAATTCACAATAGCTAGACTGTGGAACCAACCCAGATGCCCTTCACTGGATGAATGGATTAAAAAATGTGGCATTTATATACCATGGAGTATTACGCAGCACTAAAAAATGACAAAATCATGGAATTTGCAGGGAAATGGATGGCACTAGAGCAGATTATGCTTAGTGAAGCTAGCCAATCCCTAAAAAACAAATACCAAATGTCTTCTTTGATCTACATTGATTTTCATAATGGCTATAGCAACTAACTTTCCCACCAATGGTCTATGATGGTTCCTTTTCCCCTGCAACTTCAGGAGCCTTATTATTTTTGTTACTCTTGATGATAGCCATTCTGACTGGGATGAGATGGAATCTCTGYGTAGTTTTAATTTGTATTTCCCTGATGGCTGAAGAAGTTGAACATTTTTTCCTATATTTATTAGCTATTTGAACTTTTTTTGAGAAGTGTCCTTTCAAAACTTTTGCCCATTTTTTTTTGATTGGACCACTTGAACTTTTGTGGTTAAGCTTTTTGAGTTCTTTATATATTCTAGATGTTAATCCTTTGTCAGATGAAGAGCTATCAGATTTTTCTCCCATTTTGCATGTTGGGACAACTTCTGTTGATTATTTCCTTTGCTGTTCAGAAGTCTTTAATTTGATRTAATAAAGTTGTCAATTCTTRCTATTTCCTGAGCTATAGGAGTTCTAGATAGGAAACTATTGCCTGTGTCAATATCTTGAATTCCCTGTTTTCCTCTTGTTATTTCAAACTTTCAGGTTTYACATTAAGATCTTTGTTCCTTTGAGCTAATGTTTGTACAAGTTGAGAGATAGAGGTCTAGTTTCTGTTTTCTCCATCAATATCTAGTTTTCCCAACACCATTTTTTCAAGAGACTGTTTTTCCTCCATCATTTGTCTTTGGCACCTTTGTTGAGAATCTTATGGTTGTAGATACATGAGTTTATATTTTGAAATCGGGTATTGTGATGCCAGAAGCATTGTAATATTTGGCATATTTTTGTGCTTCTATGTGAATTTTAGGATTGTTTTTTCTAGCTCTGTGAAGAATGTCATTGTCATTGGTATTTTGATGGGGATTGCTTTGCATCTCTAGATCCCTTCAGGTAGTTTAGCCATTTTAACAATATTSATTCTCTCAATCCATGAACATGGAGAAGTCTTTTCATCTTCTAGCTTAATTTCTTTCTTCAGTGTTTTATAATTTTCCTTATAGAGGTCTTTAACCTCTGTGTCTAGGTTTATTCTTAGCTATTTTACTTTTCATTTTGAAGCTATTGTGAATTGGACTTTTTGTTCTTTTTTCTTTCTCAATGGGTTTATTGTTGGGGTATTAAAAAACCTCAGATAAGAAGCTGTGCTATGTGTCAAAATGCATTCTAATGTCATGTAAAACTAATTAGAACAAATTTTAAAAATACAAAAAGAAAGCTACTCATTTTTGTATGTTGATTTTGTGACCTGAAACTTTGTTGGCTGTTCTTCAGTTCTGAGGGTTTTTTTTGTTGACTCTTTAAGGTTTGCTAGATATAGAATAATACCATCTGCAAACAGAAATAATTTGACTTCCTCCTCTACTATTTGTTTCTCCTTTATTTCTTTCTTTTGTCKCATTGCTGAAGTTTCCAGTAACATTTGAAAGAGTACTGTGAGTGTACACCCTTATCTTGTTCCTGCTTTTAGAGAAAATGTTTTTAATTTTCTCCATTTAGTTTGATATTAACAATGGGTTTGTCTTATATGGACTTTATTATATTGAGGTATA